CATATATTCTAATCTCTTTTTCACTCTTTCTCAATGCATTTCACTTTTTTCTTTTTTCTTCTTCTTCTCAAAAAAAAAAGAAAAAAAAAAGAGAAGAATCTGATGTTTCTTTAGATCAGTTTGAGTCACTATCAGAGAGATGAAGAAGACTCAAAGTTCAAACAATGTTTCAATGAACAAAGATTTGAGTGAGAGGGTTTTCTTTCTTAAAGAGTTCCTCTTTGATGTCACTTCCTGTTTCGTTTTGGCTGAGCTAAATCCAAAAGAAAATATGCTGGTTATGTGACAAACTGGGTCAAATCACAAGTCCCTCAGCAAAAAGTATTACATGCAAGTATCCATTAAGTATACTAATTTTAGGCTAAAAATTAAAGAGTATACTTCCAGTTTACTTTTTATGTACTGAGATATACTTAACCAAGTTTATTTTACACTTTACTTTGCTCATGGTAAAAGTAGACTAAAAGCGTAAGTATACTTAATTTATTCTAATGTTTAAGCCTTTGGCCAAGACAAGCATTAGTAGTACACTGAAAGTATGTTTTTTTCACACAGACTGGTTTATTTGTAGTATATTTCATAAAAGTATACTTAGAAGATTAGCTTACTGTCAGTATACTTCTATAAACTTATTGTGGGTCAATATAGTCCTAGAGGAAGGCCTATACTTGTTAGTAAACTGCTTAGTACATGCTAGTACATGGTAAATAAAAGTACACTTAGGGAAATACACTTCTATATACTTTAGTATACTTAATGTGTACTTAAAGTATACTTTTTTGTAAGTTTATAAACTTGAAAATGCACTATAACAGTATACTTAAAGTATGCTTTATATAAAGAAAAAATGTCCAAATTTAATACTTACAAACAAGTATTAAATCAGTATACTTTCTAGTACAGTACAAGTACATGGTGCCTAATACTTACTATACTTAAACTTATACTCAAGTATACTTATTAAAAGGAACTTCAAGTATACTAATTATTGATAAGCGGTATTATGCCAAGTTTCTTAAATATAATGATTTCTTCGACTGTTTGCATTTGAAAGATTTGCAGGTCACAGGCTCTTTAAGCAGAATTTTGTCATCTTTCCTGAGTTCATGCATCCGAACAGAAACAACTAGGGTCGACTTATTGCTTCATTTGAGATGTTTGTTTTATTTGGACTAAATTGTGGGTTTATGGAAATCACTACATTCTGCTTTTATTTTCCAAAATCTCAATGTTTTTCAGAATTATAGTGAACAGATTCAGCTGGTTGGCTCATCTGAGCCGATAGCCTCGTTTGCCCAGTTTCCAAAGATTCTTCTGCCAAAAGCCTCTCCTGAATAATAGGCCATTAGAGTTAACATGACTCCTGTTCCATGTTGTTCGTGGGTGAAAGCCTGTAGGCAGACGGTCACTGAGTCATCGCAGATCCTCCTGCCGGCCATCACCTCTCTCTGCACGGTAAGCACAGGTGGGGGGGCTGGCGATCACACTGCTGCTTCATGACTACAAGTATTTATAGGCAAACGCACGGCACACGCAGTAGTAAACAGCCCACTCACACACTGACACACACACGCACACACAGTGCTACTCAACCTGAACAAATCTCAGTTTCTCATCAAACCGTGAGCCCAGGGGGGGCTTCGCAAATAAAGTATGAGGCAGGCAAATCCCTTTTTAATGTGCCTTTAATGATGGTTTGAGGCTCTGCAGTGTGTGTGTGTGTGGGCTGATGACCAGCTGAGCAGCAGCAACACTGAGCAGAAGCTTTTCTCTCTATTTACAGGCGGATAAAAGAAGAAAAAACAAGTTTGTTGTGTTTCAACTCATGAATGAAAAGTTCTGATGAATGACTGAAGATTAAATTCATATTTTAAATACATAAAAGATGACCAGGTGGCTTTTTGTTCTGGACTGATTGATTATTTTATCCCTCAAACTGACATCATGAGCCACATTTAAACTACAGAACAGCTGTTTTTTTTTTTCTTAGATGTGACTAGGGTTGGGCATAATCATATCGTGTGCAATTAATCGTCAGAAAAACATTAATCGATTACTTTTTGGCACTTGACAATTAATATGATTACTGCCACCAGGCAGGCTGACTGGAGATTACTCCGGTCAGTCTGCTCGTTGCTCCTCTCCGCTTCAAATATGACGAACATTAAAAATAAAGTTCTGCAATTTATTCATCCATCAACACAATTTAAAATATGATGTATAGCCTTAAGTCTATAATTTTCACACAGTTTGGGACAATTTTTTTACAAATAGCAAATCTTTCCCACTAAGTAGGGCATGTGACTATGAAATAAGGGTGTCCTAGGACTCCAGGGGATTAATCGTCTTATTAATCGTTATCGGCTAAATACCACAATTAATCATGATTAATTTTTTTTGCCAATATTGCCCAACCCTAGATGTGACTCAGATCAGATGTTCTTTTTTAAAAAGTGGAAACTTCTCCTTCTAAGAAACGTGTTTACTGTCAGTCAGACTCTGAAGGTGAGTCAAGTTCAGGTTCACCTGTCATCTTTGCTGACAATCTGCCCAGAGCGGAAACAAAAAGAAAAAGAAAAAAAAAGAAGAAGAATTCATAAAATCCCTTTTTGTGCAGATTTAAAAATGCAACGTCATGAAAACATTAAAAGAACAGAAGATGAAGCTATAATCAGTTTTCCTACTGCAGCAAAAAAAAAATAAGTGCAACAATCAGCAGTTAACAGACTGTGGCACAAATCAGTGATCGTGATTTCAAAAGAAAAAGAAATGACAGCTCGTTATTTGAATGAGCAAAAATAAACCAGGCTGCTGGAAAAGTTGCTTTCAGATAAAATATATTTTGTTAACTTGARAAGTAGAGTTTCAGTTTGAAGAAGATATGCTGTGTTGTTTGAACAGTTGGCTGAGAGCTGGTCTCCAACATATTTAAACTTTAGTTTTATCTGAAGCAGCTCAGTGACCGCCAAGGATGTATTTTCAACTCCACTCACATGAGGACTAAAACAACACTAAACAAGAGCTAACGGTCACATTATGGGATATTAAGACACATCAACACGTGATCAAACTGAAGGCAGAAATCTGAGGGCCAAAATATTAAACTACTGCACAAACAGTCGGTTGCTACATCCTTGTAGCAGGAGGCTACATCTATTCCTGTGCCAGCTTTTGATCTGATTAATGAGGCTGGCAAATTCTCATTTGCCAGTGCCCTACCGGGGCCAGCTGCTCAGTTAGCGGTGCCGGGCCAGCCTATCATTAATCAGATCAATAGCTGGCTTAGATAGATATTACTTCCTGCTACTGTAACAGGATTAATCAATCGGGGAAAAGGAAYGACGTATTTGTCGGCCGCATCGGAGGAGTCTTTGGTTTGGGACGTCCTTCGTCGCGGCGCTATGACAAATGCAGCCGACGAATTCGGCCTTCGGAGGACCCGGCCTGCCGTTTTGGACACACCCAAATTGTATATGATTCCAATTGTCATCACGTTTTATGTGGGTTGTGTAGAAGGGGTAGAACAGCGCCCTCTCTTGGTGGTTCAGTGTAATAAGCAAAGTGGACGAGAACCATGTTGCATTTCAAAGAGAGACGGGCACGAGGTAGAAGTATTAGCATTAGCTCTGTGATAAAACATTCTGTTCATTTAACCACTGTCCATCAAATGATGGTTAACTGTAAGACGTATTTATGTTACTTGGGGTTTTTATGAGTTTCATATTGTGCGTTTTATGAGTTAAATATCACGGTTTTTTGATAAGAACACATCTGAAAATGTCCGCTAGCTTAATGCTAATCCAAGTGCTCTACCTGCTGTGAGACCCCATGATTTGATCGGTGCGTGTTCTGTTTTATACAGATTAAACAGCGTTAAAGTTCGCCTCGTTTCCTGACCACCTTTTAAACACAACGCAGAAATACATACATGAAGAAACAGAAGCAGAATGGGTTTTCTTTTATTTGGACCGAGTTGGACTAAGTTACGGCCAAGTTCAGCACGGTTACACTACAAGGATGTAGTAATTGCTGGTCATGCAATAGTCTTAATTTTGGCCCTCAAACCACGCCATACCTTCATATATTTAGAAACAATCCTACATTTCATTGATCAAATGAAATAAATCGAGGCTCATTTGAGTTTTTCCTGAAATGTTTGTAGATTTGAGATGAGGATAACCATAATTTCACCTCATGAACATAAAACAAACATATTTTACATTATAAATAACTTATTTCCAGTGAGTTACTCTGATCTGCGTTTTCCTCCGGCAGAGTTTTAATGCTTCCGTTCTTGGCTCCGTTGAGAAGCAGGGGGACAGTCAGCGAGGAGCCGTTCACAGAATCTTTTCCTTTGGCGTCGCCGCCGGTCCGGTCCGGGGACGACGGCTCCGTGGCTCCGGACGCCGCTCCTCTCTCTGAGAACACCTGCTGCTGCTGGACACTGGAGTTTCCGTTCTGAGTGATCCTGTAGATTTCAGTCATTTCCGAGACGACCTCGTCGTCGTCGTCATCGTCTTCGTCCCGGATGGCTCGTCTCAGGCTTTCCCTGGGCATCAGCGCCCTCCTGCCCTCCTCCTGCTGCAGCTGGTGCTCCCCGGGGTCGTGGTTCTCCACCTTCCTCGTGGAGCGGCAGAGGGCTTTACGGAAACCCCTCTTGAAGTTGTCCGACAGGAAGCCGTACACGATGGGGTTGGCGCAGCTGTTGGCGTACCCGAGGACCACCACGAAGTAGTAAAGACCCTGGTACTCCGAGGGCAGGCTGACCAGGAGGTTGATGATGTTGAGGGCGTAAAATGGCAGCCAGCAGAAGACGAAGACCGCGACAACGATCACGACCATCCTCGTCACTTTTCGCTCTGATTTTCTCCTCTTGGTGGAGGTGGCGTGGACCTTTTTACCCGAGCTGCGGATCTTGAAGACGATGAGCAGGTAGCAGAGGCAAATGATGAGGAGAGGGCAGAAGAATCCAACGGTGGAGGTGTAGATTATGAAAGCGGCCCTCCAGATGTTCGCCGGCTGGGGCCAGGCGATGTTACAGGTGCCCCCAGCCTTCTGGATGTTAGCGAAGACCACCACGGGCAGGACGACTAGAAAGGACAGCGCCCACACCGTGCCGTTCACCACTTTCGCCACCTGAGGGCGCCTCCACTTGGAGGAGCGGATGGGGTGGACGACAGCGAGGTAGCGGTCGATGCTCATCACGGTCAGGCAGAAGATGCTGGTGAACTGGTTGATGGAGTCCACGGTCATGACGAGGCGACACATGAAGGAACCGAAGGGCCAGAGCTGGAGGGTGTTCTGGACGGCCAGGAAGGGCAGGCCGAACATGAAGAGTTCATCAGCGATGGCTAAATTCAGGATGTAGATGTTGGTCACCGACTCGATCTTTGAGTAGTGCAGCACGATGTGGATGACCAGCGTGTTCCCACCGAGGCCGATGATGCAGACGATGATGTAGATGAGAGGGATGAGGACCCCGGCCACGCTGGGACCCAAGGAAACATCCAGGAAGGTGGCGTTGGTGGCGTTGAGCAGCGTCTCGTTCAGGTCGGAGTCGTTGAGCATGAGCAGGAGCAGAGGGGGGGAGGGGCTGAGCAGGCTGTCGTTTTCCCACGCCTCAGCCGACATCTCACCAGGAAGTGAAACGTCACCCATGGATGTGCTCTTCCTGTCGATGTGTCTCTCTGATGTTTCAGCTGCCTCCCATCTGTTCTGTGGGAGGAACAGAAAACGTGTCAACAAACGGAAAAAATTACATTTTTCCAGCAGGTTTTATTTTCCTAAAAATCTCTGCTTTAAAAGTGTTTTCTCAAGTAGTTTAGCTGGAAGTTTTCTCAAAGTTTTACAGCAGATGTTGCATCTTTAATTCTACAACATACTGGGGGAAAAAAACCAAGTAAACAGCACCTCATATTATTTGCTGAAACATTTAGAAAATAATTAAAAAACAAATTTAGATGATGAGAAATAAAATATTAAATGTAAACTATGTTAATTTGCTTTCCAACAACTTATGAAAGCAGATGGGACGGGATAATTAATGCTGATGGAACAAWTAAAACACGTCTCAGGATGGATGTTTGTCGGCTGATTAATTTGACCTCAGCTGAGACGTTTGGTTCTTTACAAAAAAAAAAAAACTAAAGATTTTAGATTAGAGCGATAATTGACTTTTCATTAGAGGCAGCTTCCTGTTGAACATGAAATATAGAGAAAATCTGCAGGAAGAATCAGTGGAGTTTCTGACTAATTACTGAAAAATAAAACATCTGTTACAAACAGTTTCACTCAGAAATAAACCAGAAAATAAAGAGTTGATTGATACGTCTGCATCTCAGACAGATTTAAATAGAAATAAATAAATAACAGATGAACTGGACCTTCTCAAACTGATCAACAGTTAGAAAAGAAAAGAAAAGAAAAGAAAGAGGATGGAGGAAGTTGGTTTAATAAACACGTTTTCCATCTGTAGCTGATTGAATAAGGAAAAAACGTTAAAGCTGTTTACGTTTAGGCGTTGCTCATTCAGGTAAGAATAAAAACAGCTGAAAATAAGAGCAACAGTTATTTTCATTTCAAAGCAACTACACACACACACACACACACACACACACACACACACACACACACACACAC